ATATTAATTCGATTAATTTGAATTTTTTAAAATATAAGATTAAGTGCAATAGAAAGGCATATGAATGCAATTTTAAAAGGCAAATTACTAATTCACTAAAGAAAGAAAAATTTTCCCTTCAAAGTAATTTTGATTGGATCTCACAAACGTGTGGATGTGGTCGATTGCAATTAAATAGCTGTTTTTTTTCGTTTTTCCTCCTTTTTCTTAAATGGTATTTTTATTTAATAATTGATTAAAAATAAAAATTTTCACAGTTTTTTTTATTTTTTTTAAGATCTATAAATAGGGCATATGTTTATATCATTTGGATACTCAAAAAAATATGGAGTTCTTGCACATATGACCTCAGAATTGAAGTCAAATGCAAATCTAACCTCTTTTTTCTCCCTCTTCAATATTAGCCAATTTCTCCCCACTTTCTCCTTAAAGCCACATATAATAACATAAATGCCATTATATTTATAATTATTGATTTTTTTAGGTAATTCAAAAAAGACATAACCATCCTAAGATATTTCAAGTATTAACGAAAATACAATCATCTTCAATTTCGCCAACTACCATTACCAACCAAAATGGAAGCTCTTAATGCTTGCCCATCTGCACTTGAAGCTCTAAATACTTATTTGACTGCTCAAACTTCATTCTATCTTCAAATTTCTATCTGGTTTCATCTAAAAATCTCTTTCTTGGTCGACATTGATATGTTTGAATTCGCAAATCATATATTTTGTGAGATTCTTGGATAACCGAGTTCTGGGCTGGTTTCCTTTCAGTGCATCTCAAAAATTCTGAACTTCTGTCAAAGTTAATCGAGTTCAAATTGGAAGGAGGTAAACATCTAAATCTTTTCTTTAACATTGGGCTATGTTTCGCGAAAGTAGACTTCTTTTACAGTCTACTAGTCAACGTAAAAGGTTAGATTTGCAATTGACCTTTTGGTATTTTTTTGAAAGTAGACTTCTTTGTAAGTCTGCGAATTTTCATTTGAATACAAAAAAACAACGTTTAGACTTCTATTTCAGGCTGCCGAAAAGCGAGAATAGTTTTGCATTTGACCGGAAAATATTATACTTTGACCTTTTCTACAGACTTCGTGGAGACGTCTGAAAAAGATAAGTTTGACCTGAAAGGTTATTTTTGCATTTGACCAAGATGTTGACCACCTTTGACTGTTCGAGCAGACCTCTAAAGAAGTCAGCTACAAATTAAATTTATAGCAGACTTCTTTAGAAGTCTGCTATTAATTTAATTCAGAACTGGTCAAATGCAAAAATAACCTCTCAGCAGACTTCTAAAACTTCTTTAGAAGTCTTCTAAACCCTAAAACTTCTTTAGAAGTCTGCTACGAAAGTCAAACTTTGGTCAATTGCAGAAATAACCTGCAGCAGACTTCGTTGGTATTGTAGACTTCTTCAGCAAACTTCACATTATCATAAGACTTCTTGCCTCTTACAGCAGACTTCAAAAGAAATCTGCTGTAAAAGTCAAACGTTTGGTCAATTGCAGAAATAACATTTTTCTTATGCAGACTTTATATAGAAGTCTACTACGAAAGTCAAACATTTGGTCAATTGCAAAAGTAACCCTGCCTTTTTGGCAGACTTCTTCGTGAAAGAAACCGGGTGGAGTTTTGCTGGAAGTCTACATTTCTTTCGTTTTTAAAAAGCACTTTTTTAAAACTTTTGTGTGATGAATTTTTTTTTATAATTTTTATTCTTGTTTAGAAGGTATATTTCCTTTACCTGTATTAATTTTGTATGCTTATGTGTTATACATTAATAGTTATAATTTTTGTAGATTTGAACGGTAATTGGCACATATTAGCAGACTTCTTATGAAGTCTGCCACTGAAGTCTGCCTGGCGAAGGAGAATAACACAGCAGACAACACTTGAAGTCTGCCTAATTATTTTAACAAAAAATTCGTTTTCGAATTAATGGTATATGCTAAAATAAATATATTGTTTGGACATGCTGATCTGCCTTTTTTGGATCCATATACGTGAGTTTCACGTTGTTATGTGTTATAATTAGAAAGTGATGAATTTTCTTGAATGTTTAGACTTTTAGCCGATTATAGCAGACTTTTTTAGAAGTCTGCTCTACAAAACACGGTTTATCTTGTGTGGTTTACCTTTTTTGCAGATGGCGGCTCAGTTGCCTGTTGTATTTGGAGAATGGGTTATGAGTGCTCAGTTGTGGCATTTTGAGGTGGATAATCGCAAAGGAGGGAGGTTGTTCTTCTTGAATGATGGTTGTACACATGGAGAACTCGTAGCTATGGCTCTAGATGATTACATGCTGGATGGAAATACGGACAGCGTGTCTATCACTTATGCATTGCCAGATTCAATGTTAGCAAACATGGCTCCGGATACCCCTCCTATGCATATTACTAATGATAGACAAGTACAGAGCTTGATTGGGTTGAGTAAGACTCATGTTATACGTCTTTGTGTATCTAGTCGCAAGGACAATGATGGACGTACTGGTGGTGTTGATGCTGCTGATGGGTGTTCTGTTGAAGGTGAGAATCAAAATACTGAGGAAGGTGAAGATGAAAATGTCGATGAGTATGATGATGATGAGATAAACGAGGACATCAAAAACGATTCAGTAAAGGAGGAAGACGGTATTGACTCTGAGGGGAACAGCTCTGAGGATCAGGACTACAGCCAATATGGGAAAGTGAAGGATGAGGATTCAAATTCTGATTCAGAGGGTGAGTGGATTGAAGAACCGGTGAAGGCTCCTCAAAGAGGATATGAAAGAAATTGTGTTGACAAAATAAAAGTAAACGGAAGTTTTGCTACAAAAGACGACCTGATTTATGAGATCAGGTTGACGGCTGTTATGTTGAAGTTTGCATTCAGAGTTGATAAGTCATTGAGACGTCTGTTTGTTGCTAAATGTGCTGTTAAAGGATGCCAATGGAGAGTTAGAGCAGCTGTAAAGAACGAAGCAAAGACGTTTTGGGTCACTAAATATGTCAAAACTCATACCTGTTCTGTTTCAGATCGGTTGGCTCACCGAAAGCATACGACTCCAAGATACATTGGAAAGTTATTTATAGAGCGTGTGGGAATAATTGATGGGATTACTGCAGAACACATCAAAGATTCAATGCAGGCGATGTTTCAATTGAAAATAGACTACACAACTTCGTATAGAGCTTTGATGTATGCACAAGAATGTGTGAGGGGAAGCCCTGAGGATGGATATAGCCGACTGCCTTCTTATTTGCGTCTGATTGCTGAAGCAAATCCGGGTACTATAACTGCCCTTGAACGCGATAGTCAGAATAGGTTCAAGTACCTATTCTTAGCCTTCAGAGCCTCCATAGCTGGTTTTCAATATCTCAGACGGGTCATTGTTGTCGATGGGTGTCATCTGACTGGAAAGTATGAAGGGATTCTGCTAGTGGCCACAACACAAGATGGTAACTTCCAGATATTTCCACTAGCTTTTGGAATAGTGGACTCTGAGAATGATCACGCATGGGAATGGTTTTTTAGAAAATTGCGGGAGTGTTTTACAGACGAGTATCCGTTGGTGATAGTTTCAGACCGGCATCATTCCATTAAGAAGGCATGTGAGACTGTTTTACCATGGGTAACACGCGGTATATGCTATTATCATCTGCAACACAATATTGTCACTAAGTTTAAGGGGAAGCATCTTATGTACTTAGTCAAACGTGTTGCGTATGCATATACGGTACATGATTTTAACCGTTATATGGACGAGATAAGGCATATAAAACCTGACCTTGCAACGTACCTGGAGGAGGCAGGCATTCAGTTGTGGTCAAGAGTTCACTTTCCAGGTGATAGATACAATATAAAGACGAGCAACATCGCAGAGTCTATCAACTCTGCTCTCAAACGGGCACGGGGATTTCCCATAGTATTCCTGTTGGAGTACTTACGGGCAAAGCTAACAAAGTGGTTTTGTAAAAGGCGGGAAGATGCTTTGAGTCTTCCAACCAACCATACTCGAGGAGTTGAATATTTGTTGGCAATTCGTTCACATTATGCTGATAAGTTGACGGTTGAAGGCATAGATGGTTGGCGATTCAATGTGAAAGGAGGATCACATAACTGTGTCGTTGATTTGGAACTTCGAAAGTGTGGGTGTGGCGTGTATGATATTGAGAAAATACCTTGCTCTCATGTTATAGCCGTTTCAGATGCAATGCATATGCATCTGGCCACTCTTGTATGCCCGACCTACTCCAAAGATTACTTGTAGGCAGCGTACTCGCATAATATATATCCTCCAAGCATTGCAATGAAAACCGATGAAACAACACAATGTCTACCTCCGGAGGTCCGACGTAAAAAAGGCAGGCAGAGGAAGTCAAGATGGCAAACTTGGCTGGAAATTTCGAGGCATAAGCAAAAGAAACCCCGTAAGATCCACAAGCAGTACAGTTGTTCGAAATGTCACCAACCAGGACATACTAGACCGGATTGTGTAAGTGTTATGTTACCTCATACTTTAAGGGTTACATTGGTCGAAGTTAATTTCCTCTGTTTTTTTTTTGCAGACGTTGAAGTCAAGATAAAATCCTAAACCTATAATAGCAGACTTACACTGAAGACTACAACTAGAAGTCTTCTACCGTAGTCTGCACAAGAAGTCTGCTTCACCAGGTAAGGGAAACACTACTGAAATATGTCTGTTTCATGTCTATGTACGATCATTCTTAATTATTGTCATAAACTATGCGATATAATAAGCTATGATTAGGGTAAACCTTAGAGTACGTGAATTATCACAAAAGCCACACTAGTCTATTACAAGCGTTTAGCCTTCCAAAAGATACAACTACACCATTGTTTTAAATATTACTAAACAAACCGAAATTAATTAGGAACATTACAGTTAAATTAGAGAACAACAATTCTGGCAGGTAAACCAAAAACTACCAACCATACCACACCCAACGAGAGTCCTTTCTCTTTCATTACAGAATATACATAGTTGGACATATCACTTACCTTCGTATACGTCCAACCATGGATACTCATACTTCTCTGTGCCAGTTACTCCTGTCTCGTCAAATATCTCAGCTGCCAGCTTGTCTCGGTCGTTTTTAATGTTTGCATCACACAAGGTCTTCGGAAATGGCATCCCTAGAGCATGGCATTCAAGGTACTTCAAGCAGTAAACGCCACAGTCACCGCTTTGTTTGTTTTGTGGGATCAAATGCCCCTTGATTCGCTCCCACGTGAATGGATCATAAGTCAGATTAATACGGTCTTCAGCAGGTGCACACTCACGGAGTATGTAGGGAACCAAGACGGTAATCGGAGTCACAGCAGCCTCAATCTGAATATCCGATGCATGAGTATTCGCATGGCTATCCCAAATGACAATATGCTTGATCGGAATCGAAATCCACATTGCCACCCAGTGATCATCAGTGATGTGTAACATCGAGTACAAGTCATCCACATCATACCCCCACGTCTTGTTACTAACGCAGTAGGTTGGCGCTGCGCCAGTGTAGTACTTGAACGAGCCAGCTGGAAGGAGCTTGCCTGAACCATCAGGGTTGGCGTGAGAGTCCACGAACTCCTTGTACTTGTACCTCCACATCGTTGCAAAGTAAGAGTCGAGGAATGTTATCCTGTCCGATCTAAACCACTCAAGATGCTTTGTAAATCGCAGCCTGAGTAGGTTAATCCTAGCTTCCATGTGCTGCATATTCAATGAAAACAATTATTCAAGCAGAGAGTAATATGTTGTGTTCATATCATATATACACTCGCGTAACTTACAGTGTCTGCTAGCCATTGTTTTGGGACTCTTAGAATGAAGTACCAGTCCATGGATGACCATTTTACCCGCTTCGGATAGTTCCTGAAAACACCACCATTTTACAATATCATCCACTACTTTTACAATAGAAAGTCTGCTTTATGCTAACTACAAAACAAAGACTTACGGATCTTTTTTCAGACAATCAGTTAGCACACCGATCTTTTGCTTCACGTGTTTCATATCAAACGGATCATATCCGCACCCTCGGACATTTTTGTTTGGGATTATTTCCTTCGCTGTGCTGTTGGGTTTGAAAGGGCTTTGTTGTGTAGGAGCCAACTTTCGCATACGTTCACTCTTCGCACGAGCAACCAGTTGTGCCACCTTGCCTTTCTCGTGTTTATCTTTCTGGACCTGATCAAAGTCGATGTTGCATTTTGCTGGATCAACCATAACGACCCTTGGCTCTGGAGTTCCCTGCTTACCATCGTTCACGCTCTCACTTGGGACATCAGTTTGTTCATTTTGCTTAGACATAAAATTACTCTGCAAATATAAAGATTTAAACACACATCAATGAAACGAAACCAAACATCAAACATTAAAGAGTACAAATAAAAACATTAAATATTTAGTGGTGGCAACATTTTTAAGATTTTAAAACAGATTGGTAAGGTTTAAAAACAAATATGAAATTTTATTTTTTCCGGGGTTTCTTTCCTCTTTTCTTTGGAGCGGGTTTTGGACTAACCCCGATATTAGGATCGGCGTCCGCGTCCGTTTGATCGTCGCCAACAGGTTTTGCGCCATCGGCGGCTGCTTCACCAGTCTGAGCCACATCCTCCTTTGTACCTCCGGTCCCAGCTTGGAGGATCACTACCTCTAATTTCTGCTCCACCGTTCCCAACTTTGTGTTGAGTAGTTTGATCTGAGATTCACAACTACTTAACCCATCCATCATCTTGTTGAAGCAGTCGTCCATGTGGTCCTTCAGAATCGTGACCATTGACTCATCTTCCTCACCAGAGGCTGGGCAGAACCGCTTCCGACTTCCTTGATCACCAACTGATTCCGATCGCCTCTTCAGATCGACAGACCCTTCGGACTTGACATACTTGGTCACACCTGTTGGAGACAATGACTCCTTTCCCATGTCCATTGTTTAGGGCCAAAATGACCATACATCGTTTTGATGATGTTGTCAGTCCTCTCGTCTTCTTCATCATTGTCTTCAACTTCCCAGCGCAGAAACATGTCGAAGAATTCCTTAACAACGTAGTTGTTAATGCGTGTCTACATGGAAATCAAAACTGTGTTATATAACATATAATGCATAAATCTACTAAGGAAGTCTGCCTAAGAAGTCTGCTGTATATTACAGACGTCTGCACTAGAAGTCTACTAAATAAGTCTGCCGATATAATAGTCAACCAAGTATGAATTCAGACTACTTACCTGTCGAAGCATATTCTCTTTCATAAATTTCCTCCCCCTGGATCCCTTGTAAGCTATCAGCGGAACATTGGGGTCGTTTTGAAGTGGTTCACCAAATTTAGCAGCAAAGTCGGGAAGAGCAAAGTAAACCCAGACTTGTAGTACTTGAACAAACCCCTCAATGGTGTACGACGACTTCCAAATTTCTTTCTCCTTCACCGACCGCATAAAGTTTTTGAAGGCCACTCTTCCCCAAGGGTAGTTTTCAAACGCATCTAAATCCATCACAAGCCTTGCCAACCTAGCCCGAGTAGCTGAAGATGGCTTTCGTGCTTCAATGTAACTAGTATTAATGCTAAGGTATCCCAGCCTCAACCGATCCTCGGAAGACCACGACCCGCATTCCTTACAAGTTTCTATCAAATCTTCAGTGCTCGGGCCCAAATCCTGATTGACTCCCAATCGCTCCCAGAAATCTTGCATCTCATCAGTTATCTCAACCACCGGATCCTCGAGGTTGTCCACGTACTCGTAATTCAAGCCAGTAATATGTTCGAACTCATTCAAAGAAAAGCGGATCAGGATTAGACCTACGAGGCTCCAAATCTCAAATTTTTTCTTGCAAACTAGCTGCATGCCGAGAATGTAATGCACCAGTCTAGATGCCCAGCCGAAATCCAGCTGACTGAACTTCAAGAACACTCCCAGTCTAGAGTTCAATATCTCTTCCCACTCATCTTGTGTGAGTGCTTCCTCGAGTGCAGTCATCAGCTTCGTCTCACCGCTATAGTAACCGATGCTTTTCAGCGGAGACGGCTCATCGCCTTTCGAGAAGAGACGCGGGGGGAACTCTAGGCTTTCCATTGGCTGTTCTGACGTCTACAAAACGAAGTCAAATATTCAAGAAGTCTACTTATGAAGACTTCCGAAGAAGTCTGCACACGAAGTCAGCCAACTAAGTCTGCAATTGAAGTCTGTAGACCTAATAGTGTAATTAATAAAGCTTCAAAAAACTAGCCGCCGACAAAGTTCTCTAAAAAAACACAACCCGTTTTGAACTCCGTTTTGAACTCCGTTTTACGAGATAATACTTCCAAAATAGTTCGCCTAAACACTATACAAGTCCGTTTAATAAATAAAATAAAGTACAGATATCTGTAACACAGCAACTAGAAACTTGGAAACGGGTATTCGATTTTTGTCCGACTTTGGAAATATCTACTCGGTGTTGTCCGATTTTTAGAAAAACCGATGTAGAAACCCAAACGACACGACTAGGAACTTGGAACCCGTAAAGATATTTATTTACAAATTATAAGAAATTAGTACAGCCAAATACTTTTCCACGACCAACGGCGGAAATGAACAGACGGCGAAAATGAACAGTTACGGACGGCGGCGACACCAGATCTGGAATAGAAAGCGAAGGAGATTAGGGTTTGTGAATTACACAGACGACTTCTATCCAAAAGAGAAGTCGTAATTTCGACTTACCTTAAACGGTAAACGGATGTACAGTAAAAACCGGCGACAAGTTCCGAGAAAAATTTTCCAAACGACAGTAGTTTTTTTTTTTTACCGATTTGTGTTAATACAGTGTTCGTAGAAACTCTTATATATGACCGTAGAAACCTATTTAACCGTCGTACCGGTTCAATAACTGTCGTACCAGTTCAATAACCATCGTACCAGTTCAATAACCGTCGTACCAGTTCAATGTGGTTTATCGATTTTGTTATTTAAAACGCAATTGGTTTAGCCAATTATAGCTGGTTTGCAATATAATTTTAAAACTGTCTGGTTTAGTTTATTTGACGTATTAAGTCTGCATATTAAGTCTGCCTAAGAAGTCTGCATATTAAGTCTACTTAAGAAGTCTGCCTAAGAAGTCAGCATATTAAGTCTATTTAAGAAGTCTCCAACGAAGTCTGCCTAAGGGCATCCTCAGTGCAGATACCCTCATGGGTCTCCAAATGTGTTTTTTATTAATATCATATGAAAAGTAGTTTTAGAGATTGTATGTAGAGACCCTTAACTCACGGCCTGCATATGTACACAATACACAAAGTGCACATAGATTCCCCAGTATACGAACAATGTATATGCAACAGTCAACACCAACATTAATCACCATAGAAGTCAAATACATATGTTTTATCCCACCTAGTCTACTTAAAGGTTACACAAGTCTCTTGGTCCTCTATTCTACATCCCAACGCATGAAAACACAAGAGATTACTGCAAAAATAACTAAAAAAACACAAAGTAGGATATCAGAACCTCGATTAGCAAGTGCTTCTTTCACTCCAGCAATTTCACTCTGAATGAACCCTATGAACTCCTCGATCTCGCTAATGGTCTTCTCGGTTGCAGCAAGGCGATCCTCCAATGCATACAGCTGATTCTCATATGATTGCAGAAGGGCTGTTCGGTTGTCACGGAACATACTTTCGCTCTGCTTGTCAATTCGTATTTGAAGAATGGTCAGCTGCTCATCCCACCATTTGGAGATGTGACCCGGTTTATCCTACACATATGACAAACGAAAACTTCAGTTATACTCGATGAATAACATTAAAACTATACACATATTGAGAAAAACCTCATTAAAACTATACACATTCGCCTAATATTTCAAGGCAACTATAGAACTTCCTGCCAAACGTCTCTGGAGCTGTAGACTCTTCCAATCTACATCGAAGGCCGCAATAGCATCGTTCAGGTATCCCAAAGTCTCCATCAGCTTTGGCACACCCGCTGTCATAGCTTGCTTTGGAAGATGAGCTGTTGGTGTAGCTTATCGGCATTACTCTGTAGAGATCAAGCAAACAAACTTGGAAGTTAACAAACAAAAAACTAAAACAGATACGACCACATAATAACTTTGCAGCTAAAAACAAAACAACAAAAACAAACTTTCCAAAAAAATATTTCTTACTCGCTAAACAACAAAATAACAAAAAAAGTAAATCTTGAAATAAAGAAAAAATCGAAATATTTTTACTTACTTGCTCACGGAATCTGTGAAAAAAGTATTTTTACTTAAATCTGTTAAAAAAACAGTAAAGCAAAAGGACAAAAGAACAAAAGAACAATTTTAAAGGACAAACCAGTAAACAATAGGATACGGACTAAACAGAGAATGTAATGGCGAATAACTCACAGATCTGGAGAGATAACTAAGAACGATGAAGACGTCGGCTGAGATCTGCAGCAACAATATATGTAGTGATATATATGAAACAACATATGCATCAGAAACAGAAAAGAAGAGATGGGGAGCGCCGGGAAGGGCTTACTGCGAGAGAGAGTCGCGGCGAGAGAGACCAGAGTGCAGCGCCGTTTTACAGTGATCTAGGTTTTTTTATTTATGGTAACGACTGGTAAGTTTCTTTATATACTATGTTAAAAAAAAAATCCGGTTAGGTTAATTATTCTGGTTTGACTAGACTTTGATCCGTAGTCTGCTGAGCAGACTGATAAAGAAGTCTGCAGCCCTAGTTTAAAACTTTTCACTTTTTATGTTTATCTTAGATGGTTAAAAATGATTCATTTTTATTAAATTATAATTTTTATAGATAATACTTGTTGTCATTTGATTTATAGAAACAAATTTCAGTTTACATTATTTTTATATAATTTTTAAATTTAAATATAATATTTAATATTATAGTAGACTTCTTTATCAGTCTGCTGAGAAGACTTTATTAGTATTTGCAGACTTCGAAGGATTATAATCGTAATTGAGATATCCGTTTTATTGTTTACTCATGTAAGAGATAATGGTAATTTCTCTACCCCTCTGACCTATTTTTGCAATAGGTTGAATTTGGGGTATACTTTTGCATTTAGAATCAAATTGTGGCCTATTTTTAGCAATTCCCCCAAAAAATATCAAGTTTTAACATTCTCTTTTCATTTATTCTCTTACATTATCACTCTCTTTGGTATTTTTTCAATTTTTTTAAAAATATAATATATCAGTTATTTTTACATTATAAAAATTATTTTTTGTGATTATAATATATATATATATATATATAATAATGAAAATAAAATAAATAAATATTAGGAGTTTTATATGATGGAGTGATGTGGAAGAAAAATAAAATGAGTTGGAGGAAAAAATATTTTAATTTGTCTTTCTATTGTGAAGTTGGTGTTAACAAAAAAAAATGAAATAATATAAAAAATGATAAAATAATATGAATGAAAAATAAGAAAGAAAATTTCACTTTATAATGGAGATTAAGTTAGATATTTACATTATTTATCAAAAATCACTAAAATAAGTTGTTATTTTATATTTACGAAAATTAGATATTAATTAAAATTTAATTTAAATATTCAAATTTAAAAGTACTTTTATGATAGTGCAAATGATTAACAAATATAATATTCTACTTTATTATAATCAATCAGCTTAAGATTTCAAATATTTGAAATAAGTAAATATTTATATATAATTATTTGTTATATGATAGATGAAATTAAGATTCTTTTTTATAATTGTGGTCAAAGGATTGGTTTGTCAAAAATGCAAAATTATAGATTAATTCGAAGTAGATTAAAGAATGAATTAGCCCATTTTAACACTAATAAATATATAATTTATTTATATGATAATAGAAATTCATATAACAATATAGTTTTATGTTTAATGTTAAGAAATAAAATTTACAATTAAAATTATATTGATGTATACTTAACTAACTTATATTATTATTTTACTAATATACATAGTACGGTAACTTCGTAACTTTTATTAACAGATTGTTTTTTTGTTAGATAACACAAGTTGATGAAAATAGGTTAGATTTAAGGCTACAAAAATCACATAATCATGATTTTTTTTATTAGAATCTAAATTAAACTATTTTTGTAAATGTTTGGTCTACATAAAGGTTTTTTTTATCACACAACGCATATTAAATTCTAAGAATTAAAAATATGATATAAAAATTAAAACACATATTGCACAATAAATCAATAAAGATATTATATTCTCACTAAAAATCTAGCAGTCACAAAGTCAACATATTTGAATCAATAACACTTTTGTAATCTTTTGGTCTTTTTATTAAAGTTAGCTTTTGTATTAGTGTTTAATATACATATGATAGCTTATGTGGTTTTATGATTGCTCATATGGTTTCAAGGATGTCCTTGGGATTCACTCTTTTTATTTCCAAGTTCGAGTTTTCACTTAGGAAGTGATAGTTATCGATGATAATTAAGTAATATCAAAAGTTTAGTTTTTAATCCAATAGATTTATGGACCAAAGGTTTGAAATTGCTTCTTAACAAAAAGAAAAGACTTGGCACTAAGCAATTCATCTATTTTAAGATTTTTTTACACAAATAATTACATCAGTATTACAGATTTTGATTATTATTATATGGTCTATGTAAACATATATAATTTAAGCATGCACATAAGCCAACTTATAAAATCTTACTTATCAAAACACAGCGAAGTGATATATATATATATATATATATACAAAAGCTTGTCTCCAATTTCAAAGTGCTGTCACGTCTGCAGAAATCAACACCGAGAAATGCGGTCTTCGATGTGCTGTGTTGTCGTATTTCGTCATTGTGGATCGTATCAAAATATTCGTTTTTATGATATCTTCGTAACAATGATTTTGTCGAGATTTGTACTTTGATGGCGAGAACTCATACTCCACTGTTTCCAAAAATTTCTTCATCAACATCCGGGATATTAGATTCTGATCCGCTTCCCGAGGTTTGTGAAATAGAGTCTGAGATTGAAGGCATGAATTGTAAGGAGATTGCCTTAATTTCTTCTTCAAATTTAGCAGCTGCTAGCATCGATAACATTTTGGATTTTTGTGCCA